CCTTATTAAACTAAATTCGTGCCTGAAGCTTGTGCACAATTTTACTGTTAAAACAAGCATCTATTTGACATGTTTAGATGTTTTTTTTTAATTTGGCGCCTAACTAAATGCAATTTGCTAGGCTTATATAAAGTCGAATTATCATGGGCCAAGTGCTTTTATAATGGCACTTGAAATGTTCTTCGGTGGAATTCATTATCACGTGAAATATCCTCTGATGTCATCACTTAGAACATTTAATCTGAGATTATCCATAGTTTGAAGCGCATGACCGTCATATTTCTGACGTTTTACTGCAGAATTTTATGCTGTGTAACAGTAAAATAAAAGTTCGGGTGTAAAGGCTAACGAGACGGAGATGTCAAGGCGCGTCAGATTTCAGTACCTATCAATAGTAATGTTTTTGAGAGAAAGAAAAACCATGGGTATGCCATGAATAAATAATGACGAAAAGTAGACTAATTAATTGGTCCAAGAATGATAATAAATAAGCTCACGATGTTTGTGAATTTCTTCTGGTTTATGAACCTTTTGAGTAATGCAATGGCAGCTTTCTTTTCAAACTCAATGCAATCTGTACCATGGGCCATCACAGCACTTTGCTGTCCGTTTTACGAAAATGAATCTAATTACTGTGTAGGTGTTACTTCATTTCAGCAATTTGACTTAAAGATCACCTAAGTGGCGATTAAATCTGTATGACACTCTGCATCCCTCGGACCAAGGTCATCCAGTGAGTATTTAAGCTTTCCGTTTTTGCATAACAGTCGGCCTTCTGCTATGACAGTACCTGCTCTTTGAGGTACAAGAAATTTGCAAATAAAGCATAGCAAATTGTAATGCGCCTTTTAAATCTACTCTGTGACATTTTAATTCGTGACAAGCGTGCCTTCGTTATGAAAGCATGTATCAAGCGAAGTCATTAGTTTTTCAGTCAGTTGGCTGCATCGCTGTGAGTGTGTTAACTTAGACACATAATATGTTCTTTAGTTCGTACTGATGAAGATTTGGAATGTACAATGGTGTGAGTAAGTGGAAGGGTCCGCGTGAAAAATGAAATGCTTATAGGAGTTATTGCACACTTGGTGAGTCTCTGCACGCACATTAGATTGAATTGACAATTTAGACCAATTTCACCAATGCTATGGTTATTAGCCTATTCCAAATTCATGTCAAAGGTCGGTTTGAGCAAATCAAATGACAGCAAAAGCATCAACGATTAATCAGCTGGCAATAATGCACAAATGCCGAAATTGCCGCAGCAAATCTACCAACTATGCACAGCAGAACTCAATGCCACTTATCTACACTTTAGCATGTAGAAGTGAAAAAGTACAGATATGCAAGCAAAAAAACAAACTGACTTTAAGTTAGCTTTTGCATTTGTGATAGTACAAGGAAGAGAGCAATTGTATCATTCAGAATTTTGTTGTAGGCTACACCAAAGCCAGTGAGCAATATGTTCTGGAAAAAGAACGGAACATTCTAACTCGTAAATTGACAAAGCTGAAAATTCTGCCTGTCCGTTGTACGGTTTGCTGATACTAATATTAGTCTACATTAGTAGTCCGGTTTAAAGAAGAAACTTGACAAGATGTGACGATAAAAACAATTATCACATTCTTATTCACACCCAGCTTCTAGCATTGTTAAACGTTCCGGTTTTCGTCAAATTTACTTTATTTAATCCAGTAGTTTTTTATTAGCATGAACCGAGTGTGTCAATTTGGAAGACAAAATATATAAGGCATTATTGCGGCAAAATGATATCGAAAAATACTAAAATAATAGAAAGTTTGCTTACAAAATAAAACTTGCAGTAATTCCTGGTAGTGTCCTGCAAAAATAAAACTCTTTTAGCGCTGACGATTCATATGTAAATTCGGTTTCAAGTGCAGAATTAAGATGAACACATGTCATTTTAATGGTACTAAAAGTGGTTTTTGCAGTTCCGCATATTTAATGGACTAAAAAATCCAGTGAAATACATTGGTTGATTTGAAAAAATTGCTAAATTTACCAAACTGAGTTAGTCGAAGTGCACTTAAGTGTTCATTTTCGAGTTGTTTTGTTTGTGTTTCGTTTTGAGCTTTACTATTTAGAATTACAATTGAGATCTGTAGCTGTGAATTGGAATCTAATATTTAACGGGATTACCGAAGTGTGGACCTTAATCGTGCTCGGGTTACATTGGATGCCCACTGGTACCCACTCACTCTGACTACCGAAATTCACCCTTAATACTGGCCCTCACGATAAGAGCACCGCAAATGTGTAAGAAAACCCCACGACCGAATACGTGTAGGAAGGAAATGCCGGTGTAGTTCTTTAATAAGCGGAGAGGTGAAGTGAGGGATTCACTTCCATCAACCCGGTAATCGTTGTCTCTGACGTACCTCTCAGATTCCGACAACTCATGAGCATGTATTCATTCTACCCTGCGCAAACCGTGCTGGCCATCTGGCCCTTCTGACATGTGTATGCAGGCTGAATGAGTAGAATGCCCACATGTGTCATTCACAACGTTCGATACACACACACGCACACGCACGCACGACAGCACAAAACCTGTCTGAGCTATCCCGTCTGCTGTTGGCTAATTCCCGCTTTATTTGGCCGCAACAAGTAAGGTGTGCAGGTGGCTCCCTCGTCCGTTTTAACGTTGACACCTCAAGCGAATATGATATTCATTCAATGACACAGTGAACACAAGTGAGAGGGAATTGCACCAGGACAAAAAAGGCTGTGATTGGTGCAATTACTCAGAAACCATCAAGCAGCATGAACCAATCCATCTCCAAGGCTCTTCGTGTGCTTAAGCAATACGTTGACACTTAGGGCTTCGCGTTCGCATCGTGTTGCCTAATCGCAATTTTGCATTAAAGCATTCTGCATGTGAAATTGTCAACTAGAGCAATCAAAATTGCTTTTGGTGCCGAGAATTGCTCGAGGAAAGTTAGACAAGGCCACGTTAATGCACTTTTTAATGCACAACTTGCATAAATCTGCTTGCATTGCGCGGATGCATCAGTGTAGACAACTTTCATTTTGATACTGTCAATATTAAACCCTTTTGAATCAGTGTATCTGCATTGACATATACGGTTGAGAAATGCTCAACCTGGAGAAAAATTAAGAGACTAGACGAAAGAGTGTGCGATTAAGTTTCACAAGGGCACATGTAGCTACTCCTACTTACCAGACATCAGCAGCTGAAATTCTAGTGAGAATCATGTGTGTGAAGTCATCGTTTTACATATCCTTAAATAAAATTATTGCCGAATGCTAAATTAGGATATACACAAGTAGATTCACACGTACATCCGTGTTATCGTGCTGCAGTTCCTAGTCATTGCAAAATACCATGCCTAACTGAAATTGCGAGACCAAATTTCACGAGTTAAACACGCGTATGTTTAGCAAGAGTGTAATGCGAAACAATCAAGACCATGGAACAGCGGCTTAACATAGATTAGTAACAAAAGAATGGTAGTGAGATGAGGTGAAGGCGACTAGGTGCAACATGTCAATTTCGACGTTTAGGCTTGCTAAGTTAAATCTTGCTACATTACATCGTAAGACAAGGACGAACGCAAATCACCAGTAGCAGAACCTCCGCTAGTTGGTTAAAAAACCAAAACAAGCAACAAATGTTGACACGCGTCAAATTGTCGACGATCGCAGAACTCGGTAAATGCAACGAGCGTCAGTGGCCTCGGCAGACACTCCAATAAGGTAAACATTAGTACCTCAATTCTCCACGCTTCACTGCAATGAGCTAACATATTCAGGTTCGAGGCAAACGGCGTAAAAAACACTGTCATTATTTGGAAATCAGAAACAACAAAGCGAAAAAGGTGGAATTGAGGGACACAAAAAGCGCACTAATTTGGCATTGTCATGTAAGTAAGGGGAGCTATAATACGGGTAAAAGCTAACCTGACGGCTCACAGGCTTGCTTTATATAGGTGCCAGTAAATGTTACAATCAGCGACATCTCTTAACGAATGAGTACAAAGATAAATGATTTGTGCGGTAACCAGTAAGAATAAAGGTTAAATCGAGATATTGCAACGACTGAAGGAGAGTTACGGCAGAAGGCAGATATTAGTTTGACTTATCAATGTTCAAGTATTCGCATTCGTCAATAGCTTTGCAGCAACTGCTCGCACTTGTCAGTATTGCACAGAATTGGGGTAGCAGAAAAGTTGTAAAAAGACGTTCAAAATAAAAAGAGCTGAGTAGGACTGGTGTGTCAAATGCAGTCATTGAGTTGCGGCACTGGGAGTCTCCAACACACTTATAACCACCAAACCCATTAGCTAATTCCCCATTTTAACCAAACCCAAAACAGTACAAGTCATGTCTACGTGAGGGTGGTAATCCGTGGCAGTGTGGCATTGCATATGGAAGGGGCAAAATCGCCATTAGGCAAAGGTGTACGATATTTTCACAAACTAGCACCTATTTAGTGCGTGCGCATTTCATTGCAGCCTATTGCTCAAACCGTCGTTGTATGTAGGTTTTAGCATGCCAAGAGCAATGATATATCGGTGGCGGATTCCAGCGACACGATCTTAAAGCTTGCACATCGATTGTATTGTGTTGAGTGGCTAAGGATTTTAGTTAAGACTATCCGGTGACGTGTATCTCTCTCATCGTCCTAACAACATCATCGTGTTCGCGTCTAGTGTATTAGAAAACATTCAGACGCAGCCCCCATGCTGTCCTTTTATTCGATTCTATTTAGGTGAATATGCTATTAGGCGATGTATATTGTCATTAATATAGAAAATTCACGCTGTATGTGTCAGAAAAGAAGCATAACATTAAACCAATGAAAGACACGGTACACAAGTATAAAGGAGATATCAGTGTGTGTGTGTGTGTACACTGGCGCGAGTCATAAGCACAAGACATGAAGGCACATGGAGTCAATTTTGGCGACAGCGGCGATGGCGTTGGTGGAGGGGGTAGGAGGAGGCGAAGACATGCTCATACTACATGTCGTCTGAGATGTATAGTGAAGACGTGGTCAACGCACCTCGGTTTATAGCCACATGAGCATCAAGCATCAGTTTCTCAAGGGCCTGATAACCGAGGAGATGACATGCCTTTCGAGCCTGTTGCAGGACCTCACCTAGGCGTTTGAAGGCTCTGAGCAGATGGCCTTCGTCGGCACCAGATTTTCCTGCCACGACTGACAACGCTTCACCACGTGCCCAGGCATAAGTGGCTTCTACAAGCCCTGGATTCACATCAAAGTCGATGTCACCATTATGCACGCCTATCCATGCCGAGGAAAATCGCAGCTGCAAGACATAAGGCAACTATGAGTTTCTGCACAACAGTTGTATGAAAGGAGCGAGTCCAAAGAAGAAGGTGAAGACCACGAGTATCTGCGTGTGTGTGCACTTATTAGCCCTATCACAGCACATGAGACAGCATCTGGCAAGCACGCTTCCTCAATGAACTTACAACATTACCACGGTCAAAACGGTAAACTCGTACAAAAAATCAATATTTTAAAAAGGTAAGCGTCAGTAGTCACCTCCTGCCACTGCATCTGTCAACAAATGCCTACCTCACTCGCCAGGTCCAGCATCCGCGCTA